CCACCCTCCCACACCGTATCCATGTTTCCCCCTACTCCTATCCTCCCCTAGTCCCTGCCCACCTTCTCTTCCTCTCCACTTCTATCCCTTCCCTACTGCTTTCCCCTCAACTCCTGTTTGTTCCCCCACCCCACACCTTTGTTCTCCCCTGCTCCTATCTTCTCTGCTTCTATTGTCTCCCTCTCCAGGGCTTCTGCTCCCAACCCCTCACTCTACATCTCCTACTCGGAGTTCCTCACCCATCCACCTATATATAGCACCATTCATCATACCTCTGCATTCATGTCAGGCTGCCTCGTACTTGTTTTCAGCATTCTCTGGGTGCCAGCAGGGGGAGCAGTGAAAACGGAAAACAGTCTTCTTGCTACCTGTTCCAGCATCCTGCTCAGCCCCTGAAGATCTGAGATGAAACCCTTGCACAGTAGGGATGGTTCATGTTCAATCTGGTCATCACAGTGCAGTAAAAATATTCAGAGAATGTAGCCACTGAACACTAAGTCTCTATTGCGTACGAGGTTTCTTCAGAGGCTGATAACTTGGCCAAATGTGGGCGTATGTTCATGGAGATGGTAAAATAATAAATAACTAGCTCTTATATAGCACTTTTCATCAGTAGATTTCAAAAGCTCTTTACAAAGGAAACACCTATCTAACAGTAGGGTGATCCTCCCCCACTGCCAAATTTTAAGCCCTTGCTCCAAAGTATGAGTTGCCAGAGCTTCTCAGTGAAATGCCTGTAATTTTTTTAAAATATAGGCAAATTAACGTATTTTCCTCTAAACTTGCTCTCAGAAATGGCTGAACCATTTTAGCTGAAACTTTTTGGGAGTGAAAAAAAAATCAGTCTTAGGCAGACAGCCAAGTATAGAAAAATTTCTGCCAGATGGTTTAAATTTGGGAAAACTTTAAACAACTGAAAACAGGGTCTTATACTGGAAAATGTCAGGCAACCTTAACTTTAGGCATTGCAACCTGCACTGTCTATAATGATATTGATATTAAAGGAAGATCAGAGAAGGGAAGTAGGAGACAGGCCTTGTTCTTTTCTTTAAAATAAATAAAAAGTTACCTATTCTAGTCTCCACTATTCTAACACTAACTGCACCTTTACTTCCTGATTGATTGTGAGCAAATAACTTCACCCATTTTTCACATGTGAGAACCCTGGGCTGGAGTACCAGCAGCAACACAGATAATGAATGACAAAGTCAACCTCTGCTCCTTGCTTCTCAACAACTAAAGGGGTTGAGGGTAGAAATCCATTGATCCAGGGAATCATCCCTACAGCACAGAGCATCTGCCAGCAACATACCCTACACTTGTCCAGATCTCCGATGCACCTTTAAATGCTTTCCCATTTCTTTTGGGCCAATTAAAAAGAAAAAGAAAAAAAGATGGGGAGAAGAAATACACTATCATGTTTTTGTTTGTTTGCGTCTGTTCAAGCACTGGCTATGATAAGAGAATTAAGGGTAGATTTGAAATGAATCTAAATTTAAAAAAAAATTGTACATCAAAACTCAAACTATCGGTTTGTCAGCAATTTCTACAGCAGGAGCGTGTCAAGGAACTCTCTAATCTAAGACAAATTCCTAGGAGAGCTATGATAACCACATTATAGAGGCATGGACCAGACATGTAAATTAATTTTTGTATAATTTTAGATAGTATACTGAATAAACAATACAGTCAGAAAAGGTAAGAATATTGAGCCTAGAATGCTGTATATTATTTTTATGCATCAAATATTTCAGTTGTATCTTTAAGTAATTCTGCTCAAAATATTTGTAGGTTCTATAGCAGAGGCAGGCAACCTTTTTGTCCTGAGGGCCACATTGGGTTTCCGAAATTGTATGGAGGGCCAGTTAGGGGAGGCTGTGCCTCCCCAAACAGCCAGGTGTGGCCTGGCCCCTGCCCCCTATCCGATCCCCCCTGCTTCTTGCCCCCTGACGGCCCTCCCGGGACTCCTGACCCATCCAACCTCCCCTGTTCCCTGATTGCCCCCCCCCGCCCCCAGGACCCCTGCCACATCCACCCCTCCCTGTCCCCTTACCGCCCCCGGATCCCCTCTGCCGCCCCATCCAACCCCTCCTCTCATTACTAACTGCCCTCCTGGAACCCCTGTCCCATCCAACCACCCCTTCTCCCTGACTGCTCCCAGAACCCCTGCCTGCCCATCGCCCCATCCAACTCCCCCTCCTTCCTGACTGCCCCCATTCAACCCCCCTGTTCTCCATCCTCTGACCTCCCCAACACCTATCCACAATCCCGCCCCCTGACCACCACCCCAAACTCCCCTGCCTCTATCCAACCCCCCCACCCCCTTACAGCATAGCCTGGAGCACTGGCAGCTGACGGCATTACAGCCGTGCTGCCCAGAGCACCAGGACAGGCAGCCATGCCGCCTGGCTGATGCCAGCCACGCCACCGTGCAGCACAGAGCACTGGGTCAGGCCGAAGCTCTGCAGCTGCGCTGCCCGGAGAGAGCTCGCAGCCCACTGCCCGGAGCATTGCACCGGCGGCAGCACAGTGAACTGAGGCTGCAGGGGAGGGGGGACAGCAGAGGAGGAGCTGGGGACTAGCCTCCCGGCCAGGAGCTCAGGGACCGGGCAGGAGGCTCCCGCAGGCTGGATGTGGCCATAGGCCGTAGTTTGCCCACCTCTGCTCTACAGCCTGAAAGGACTGCATAGCCTGGGGAAATTGGCAATGGTCTCTCTATCTTTTAAAGTATTTACAAAGTACCTATCACCCTGGAATTTAAGCGCTTTTCACCTCTAAGTTATTGGTTTGAGGCAAATGCAGGTCAGTTCTGATTGAAAGTCTTTATCCTTTAGGAGCGTGTATGAAAAGGAGTCAGACACAATGTTCTAATTCCTAGTGAGCAGATATACACACCACCAAAAAGGTGGTCCTGTGGATAGAGTACTGGACTGAGATTTAGAAGATTTGGTTTCTAATCCTGGTTCTGCCACTGATTTGCTGTGTGATCTTGGGCAAATCAGTTCCCCATTCAGCTCTGTCTTTTTAGATTGTAAACCCTTGGACAAGGAGTATCTACCAGCATTTAGCACAAGTGGCCCTGATTTCAGTTGAGATTTCTAGGCACTAATATTAATAATAATAATTGAAAGTCTAATCTAAAGGGTTAAAGACTGAATGGACAGAGAGAATGAACTAACCTCTAAGGCCTGGTCTATACTTAAAAAACACAGATATATTGGTCAGGGTGTGGGGGGAAAAACACACCACTGACCAATGCTGACTTAACCCCCAGTATCAATGCAGCTATTTCAACAGAAGTATTCCATCAGCGTAGCTACTGTCACTAGGGAAGGTGGTGTTCTGATACCAACAGAAAAACTCCTTTTGGCAGTGTAGGCTGAGTCTATACTGCACTGCCATAGTGGGCATCATTTCCATAGCGTAGATATACCCTAACTTTTAAAGAGCAATCTGGGGAAGTTAACAATGTCTGGTAGTACACCAGCTCTATGATTCTATCCATCAACAAAAAGAAAAGGAGTACTCGTGGCACCTTAGAGACTAACCAATTTATTTGAGCACAAGCTTTCGTGAGCTACAGCTCACTTCATCTGCATCCGATGAAGTGAGCTGTAGCTCACGAAAGCTCATGCTCAAATAAATTGGTTAGTCTCTAAGGTGCCACAAGTCCTCCTTTTCTTTTTGCGGATACAGACTAACACGGCTGCTACTCTGAAACCTAACCAACAACAGAGGACTTCATTTTCTAGTGCTGTCAGTCTAGCATCTTCCTCAATAAGTTTCAACCTTCAAATAATTATTTGAATCAAGCTGCAAGTTACATTTTTATTATTCAATGTTGTTTACACACACATCCCGTATTCATATCAGATCACTCGTCCCATAACAATGTCCTTTCTCTTACAGAAAAGTTCTATAAAATTGAATAGGAGGAAAATAGAATACAATTTTTAAAAGAATCCTAGAGAATTATTTAACAGGGATTTAATTCTCTATTAAATTTAATAGGATGGGTTAAACTTTTCTGTAGAAAAGTCTCTCTATAAATTCTACAGGATATTTTCTTTAAGGGTCATATTTCCATTTTCTATGGTACTAGTCTGTATTCCACTCTAGGAATTCAGCAGATTGAGAATAAATAGTAAGGATCACTCTAATCAAATTTTAACTCATACCAGTATTTCAAAGATACTATCAGGTTTCAGAGTAGCAGCCGTGTTAGTCTGTATTCGCAAAAAGAAAAGGAGTACTTGTGGCACCTTAGAGACTAACCAATTTATCTGAGCATAAGCTTTCGTGAGCTATAGCTCACTGCATCCGATGAAGTGAGCTGTAGCTCACGAAAGCTTATGCTCAAATAAATTGGTTAGTCTCTAAGGTGCCACTAGTACTCCTTTTCTTTTTGCAAAGATACTATGTGCCTCAATAAGGGTTTTGCAGGGTAGTCCTTAGGACTCTCTCTTTTCTCTCTAGAGCTCTACATAGCTGTGTTTTTATTGTATATCACACTGTTTCAGCACAGTTTTGTTAAAGGCAGTTTATCACCTTATTTGAGTAAAGAACATAATGAATATCTAGGTGGGTTTTATAAATACTAAATCCTTTTTAATCTCCTCCCCATATTCAAATTGTTGCAGACCAGTTAATATAATTTAACAAAGTCATAGCTCTACCGATTCATATTACCAAAAGAAGTGTCAAAAGTCTTATATATTCATTCCAGGATATTCTGAGCTTGTAGGAACACTTGACGATACAAAAGCCACACATTAGGTTTAACAGTTTCGCTTTGAATAGACACTACTTTGCAGCTAGTTTAGAAGAGATAAAACATTTGGGCAGCAACAAGGACTACAATGCTTTGGGGGAGCTTAAGTTTGTGCTTCAGCATTCTTTCAGAAGGGACAAAAGGGGGGGGGGGACTTCCTGTCATTTCCATTGCTTTCTGCATGTGGGACCAACATGCAGAAAGCATGGGCAATGCAGAGTTTAAACAGTTGCAAATGGAGGGAGGGAACATCATGCCTTGTTTTACATATTTCTCCCTGACTGGGTTGAATTTAACGTGAAGCTGCTCCATTGTTCAGGGCTCCCTGCACCATATATATTGACAGAAGCTACTGTTTACATGGACTTTTCATCCCTTCATTGTTTGCTTATGGAAAATAAGGGGGAGTGACAAAAAAGAGAAGGGAAAGGGAGAGAGAAAAGAGGGAGGCACTGACCACAGTGCAGAACCACCCAATAACCTTGTCTTATGTGATCATTAACCTTGTTGGAAAATGCAACTGGCAGTTCATTCTGGAGCTTGTCATTAGGATGTGAGCAGAGACACAGATACTGCAGAGGCATTTTAAGGATTTTTTTATTTGCTGCAAGTATTATAAATATTTCACCTATTTTGTGTGACTGCAAAATGAGATTCCAACAGCTCCTTTACATCTTATTTTTTCTCATGATGAGTCTACTCCTTATCAATGGACAGAGGCCAGGTAGGAACTGTGTCCTCACATTACATGTTAATATGTATATTTTATAGGAGTACCGACTATACAGTTTAAGTTTATTGCTTTGACTTTGTTCCAAACACTTATTCTTAGTTATTGTACTTCCATTGCTATTTGTTTTGCAGAATTTTTAAAGTCCTGGGTCTAGAGACATATTAATAGTAATAAAGATATACATGTATATAGTGTAACTACTAAAAGGTCTAAAGAAATTAAGATTTAAACCAGATCTAAAGATGTTGCATTTCCATGCCTGCTCCTGAGAAAACACGATCAGACGAATGTTACATCAGCTACATCAAACGTACCTTGGTTTGTAGCATCCACAGCACTTAGCTTTGATGATTGACTGGACTAGGCTGAGTTTACGCCCTGATAAAAATCACGATGAAACAAAATGAAGCTGTTAAGACACGTCAACAGCTATAATCACTTTACGGAGCAATACGTGTGTTTAAAAGGTCTGGAGTAGCATCTTTGCGAATATTGGATGCGGGGGGGAGGGGAAGGGAAAGAGTTCTACACTCGCTGCGAGGCAATTTTGTTTACTCCTTACCATTGACGGTAACCTATCATTCAGATCTGGGATCTACGTTGATCGCAATTTTAATGTTTCCTATGACGACTTTAAAGTACTGCTTTGATCATATTTATCATAAAAAGCGGTAGTAAAAAAGAAGCGGTTTGCTGTACAATTATTGTTAGACGGCTCTCAAACAACCAGCCATTCAAAACTTCCACACACCTATTAAAGAATACCTAACCGAGGTTTTTGAATGAACAAAATATGGAAGCAAAATTCCAAGCAGTATAGTTATAGTCTTTAAGTTAGGCAATTGTGATAACCACACCAACATACACTCATTTCACTCTATTTCCTGATTAAGGCTAAAGAAAGGGGTCAGCAGGAGCAGAGAAGGTAACAACGCGCCCCACTGCTGATTGCATTTCTGACTCTTCTTTTTGGTTCAGGGGAAGTTTTATCAACTGGGGAGGGAGCACATCTCAAATGTGACTCTATGGCTGTCTTCGTCGGTGCAGAAATCAACGCAAACTGACTGCTAGTCGCCCGCTGTTGAGCCAAATTGCGTCCTAACTTGAAATCAGAGCATGTAGACAAGGGGCTTGGTATACAAAGTATATAAGGAAAGGATTCATCCTGTAAGGTAGAGGGCACTGTGGTCCCGATTCAGAAAGGCATTTATTTTACGAAACTGCTCAAAATGTTTGGGGTGCTATACCTTCTGCTCCCGGAACGGTGACTGCTATTTTTGAATATGCTTTGTCAACAAGTTTATGGCACGTGGGGGAACACGCTATTTCTGAAATGGGAAGAAATCTAGAATTTTAAGGGATATTTTTTAACCAACAAAAAAAAAGGGAGGGGGGAGGCTGTGAGGACAACTAGCATGAATCGTATGGAAGAAGCAGCATGATTCAGTGCAAAGCTGTTTGTCTTTCTTTCCGTTCGCTTTGTTGCTTAATATCCAATAGCATTTGCCAGAAATGCTTAGAAATCCGGGAGGAGGGGAATGCAAAAACAAATAGGTCGGTGTAGGACATCAATGCCCGAGGTGACGCCTGGATAGCATAGCTCTTTTGCATGCTGGTGCTCAGTATTATAGACAAGTGTAATTGTCTGATTGTTGAAGTTTTCGATTTAAACTGTGTGGTTTCAATTCCCGCTTCTGCCTTTCAGCTAACCTGGCCCTGCGCAGAAAGCTGCACAGACACAACTGCTCCCACAGGAGATGTATGCCTCTCCACTCCAGAGTGCCCTTCCCCTGAGGTATCTGAAATCCAACCTTGCTTTGCTAAAGTTAGGAGAGTTCGGTAATAAATCCAGGCGCCAAGGAGGATGTAATTATCAAAACTTCCCTATACATTTCTTTGGAAACACTGCTGAACAGGCTGTCCAGAATAAGCACATTTCCAAATTCTGCTTACATTTCAAAACCGTTTGCGCTGCATTTTACTAACCAAACCACAAACATGATTTCATTTGGTCTCGAGTCCTTGCGATTTCTTTGTTCTGAAAACAAGGCTTTGAAAAAGCAGGAGGGAAAAAAATATGCTTTATTTAAACTCCATGGCAGGATCCCAGATGTGCTAGGGTTATTGGACTTGATTACAGTGTTTTCAGTATGGCAGATTCTGCACAAGAAATCAGCTCCTTTGGATAACGGGCTGTCCCATATTAGCGTTCCCTTATACTTCTCCCCCTAGGCAAATTCAAACTCCCTCCGCTCCTTATACAGACTGAAAATTCTTGAATCTGTTATATCTGCAACAGTTGCTGGGTTAGAAACACTTCCCACTGTACTATTGTAGTTCTGAATACATTTCTCTTTGCATGAAAAACTAACCCCAAATGTTTAAAAAGGAAGCGCTGGCCAGTGATGAGAACTTTAGGCTAGGCAGGAAGAGTACTCAGTTAATACCTGTAGCTGATTTGCTGTGTGAGGTGGGGCAAGTCACTTGATCTCTCTTACTCTTTGCCCTATGTTCCCCATCAGTAAAATGGAGATACCACTTACCTACTTCAAAGGGGATTCTGAAGCTTAATTAATGTCAGCAAGGGGCTTTGAGATCCTTGGATGAAAGGCTATGCAGGTGCAAAACATTAATGCTCTATAGCGGATTACAGAATACGCATTCAAATATGTGCATATTCAAATACATTTCAGTGACTCCAGAAGCATACAGGTAGCATATGTAAATATAGTACGTAGGCATTAAAAGGATACCAAGACTCCCTTTCAGGGAAGCATGCAATTTAAGAATTAATAAAACATGCCATCAATAGTTTTGCATCTTTTAAACTCTTTGTTATAGTCCAGATAATGTGCTAGTCCCAGGCATGTCAGCATAATTAATAAATAATGACAAAATCTATACTAGGAGGATCCAAGAGCTTTCAATTTGTTAACTGGCTGCACTGATCTATAAACACAATGGTATGTGTATATGACATACCTACAAAAAGCACAGGAAGCTGGAAAACTGAACACCTAAGGAATGATTAAGATATCTTCAGCATAACCCCAGATTTACTCCAACATTGCATTGAGGCAGTAACTAGAATATTTTCAGGGTGCAGGTTTAAAAGCATGCTCATATTGAAGTGTGTAAAGATGTTTAAAGATAGATCTGCCTAACTGGTGCTTCAATATTGAGCACAGAGGCCCACCTGCCTGCTCATTTCAACAAGAGACAGTCAAGACAAGATCCCTCATCAGTATCAGCATAAACATAACCAGCTAAGCAATCAGATCAGCTCACTCAGCAGGCAGGCAGGAGCTAAGTGAGCTGAATGATAGAGAGGGATAGTGGAATTTAGTTTAGGAGCAGGGGGCTTATTGAGTTGCTCCTGAATGACTTGCTTCAGTTCTCATTAAGACAGTGGACTCAACACTCCTTCCCCCCAATCCTGCATCTATAGACTAGAGATAGTCTGTGCACAGACTATCTACATTTTCTCTAATGTGCCCCTGAAATAGTGTATTTGGCTTCAAATTGCACTGTCTGGGTGATAAATATGCACTTACTCTGGTTTTTTTTCCCCTTCTTCCCCGTACAGTATATCAATTTGCCAGACTAAAAGGTATTTTCAACGTTATCTGCTTTCATTCAGGGAGCTGATTTCTAGTAAGAAAAAAGTCAGTGACATAGCAAAAAACGGTACTCATTAATTCATAACCAATTGTATCGACATTTAGCTAAAGACTGTTGTAATACTGTTCTGTCAAGCTGTTTAGAAGTCTACAGGGCTTGATTTTGGGGGGGAGGAGGGGTTTAGCATCTTCAGCTCTTACTGATTTCAGCAGGAGCTGTGGGTGCTCAGTGCTTCTGAAAAAAAGCACGCCTTATATCCTAAGTGGGCCATTTCCTTTCCAGTTTTAAACTGGACATATATTTTTGTGTATTTACTAAAATTGTAATTTAGCATCTTTATTTAGTTACAGTGGCATCTAGAGACCCCAACCACAATCAGGACCACATTGTAGCAGGACACATCTATAGTAAGAGACAGTTCCAACCCCAAAGAGTTTACAGTCTAAACAGACAAGAGAGACAAAGAAAGTATTATTATTCTCATTTTACAGACAGAGAATTGAGGCCTGGATCCACAGAGAGACTTAAGTGATACAGTGTGGCGTGTTGCAAAACCTAACTTTTAGGTGTCTTGAAAATCACTGGGATATACAAAAAGAAAAGGAGTACTAGTGGCACCTTAGAGACTAACCAATTTATTTGAGTATAAGCTTTCGTGAGCTACAGCTCACTTCATCGGATGCAACAAGTTGCAGTGAGGCACCTAAGGTCCCTATACAAGGAAGGGGGAGAGATAGTTGCTTTAGAAAGGGATCCATAAAAGCCAGCATGCTGGGCAGGGGTCGCCAAAGATAGCCAATGGGAGGTGCTGACAAGAGGGGTGTATCCTAAGCCCTGCCCTGATAGTGTTCAGCACCTAAGTCCCGCTGCAGGGAGGAATCCAGCTAGTGATTCACAGCTGGAAACCTCCTTCCTGGAATCAGGCAAGTTAGGCCTTGAAACAGCCAGTTTTTGCAACACCCAGCTTAGGCACCTGACTGCCTCTACACAAGCCAGTGACTCAACCAGGATGTGGAAGACCCCATTTTCAATTCTCACCTGTGCCTGATGAGGAGGTGAATACTGTAACCACTGGTCTGCAGAATACTTTCACTCTCTCGCCCAGTTAATATTTAATTTCAATGGCCAGGCTTTAACAAGAGAGACCCACATCAGAATATCCCATAGTTTAGTGGTTAGGGCACTCTCCTGAGAGATCCTTGTTCAAATCCCTTTTCCTTATCAGGCAGAAGGGGGAACTGAACCATGGTCCCCCACAGCCCAGGTGAGAGCCCTAACCACTGGACTAACAGTTTTAAGGAAAGCCACTGCTGTTGCCTCCTCCCCGCACCCTTTTACACAGAGTTAGGCTATCATTAGGGCCCTACCAAATTCATGGCCCATTTTGGTCAATTTCAGTCATAGGATTTTAAAAATCATAAATTTCATGATTTCAGTTATTGAAATCTGAAATTTCAGTGTGTTGTAATTATAGGGCCCGAACCCAAAAAGGAGTTGTTGGGGGTCACAAGGTTATTGTAGGGGGGTTGCGGTACTGCTATCCTTACTTCTGTGCCGCTACTGGCGGCAGCACTGCCTTCAGAGCTGGGTAGCTGGACAGTGGCGGCTGCTGGTTGGGAGCCCAGCTCTGAAGGCAAAGCCGTCGCCAGCAGCAGCGCAGAGGTAAGGATGGCATGGTATGGTATTGCCACCCTTACTTCTGCACTGTTGCCTGCAGAACTGGGCCCTCAGTCAGGAGCCATCACTCTCCAGCTGCCCAGCTCTGAAGACAGCAATGCAGAAGTAAGGGTGGCATGGTATGGTATTGCCACCCTTACTTCTGTGCTGCTGTTGGCAGGGCGCTGCCTTCAGAGCTGGGCACCCAGCCAAAAGCTGCCACTCTCCAACCACCCAGCTCTGAAGGCAGGGCAGAAGTAAGAGTGGTAATACCGTGACCCCCTAAAATAACCTTGTAACCCAGCTACAACTCCCTTTTGGGTCAGGACCCACAAATTGAGAAATGCTGGTCTCCCCTGTGAAATCTGTATAGTACAGGGTAGAAGTACACAGAAGACCAGATTTCACGGTTCGTGACATGTTTTTCATAGCTGTGAATTTGGTAGGGCCATAGCTGTCATCTACACTTAAAATGCTGCAGTTACACCATTGGAGCACTTCAATGTAGATACTCATTACTATGACAGAAGGGGTTCTTCAATTGCTATAGCTGATTCACCTCCCCAAGAGGCAGAAATGAGGTTGACAAAAGAATTCTTCTGTTGACCTAGCACGGTCTATACCAGGGGTTAGGTCAGCATAGCTACATCTCTCAGAGGTGTGGATTTTTTATACCCTTGAGACACGTAGCTATGCCAATGTAAGTTTCCAGTGTAGACCAGCCCTTAGGTGTGCTCTAAATAAACCACCATATCAGGCCCTGCAGGTGAGCTAGAAGGATGGGCACATATCTTCCCTAATTTGAGAATTGCATTGGGGCTTAGATGGGAGATAGACAGGCACCAGGATGCCTGAGGCAGCAGCGTGCATGCCCAGAGGCAGAAACTTAGGCACCCAGGAGATTTTTTTACAGCAAAAGTTAGGCCTGTATGAGTTTAGGCTCCTACAGAGTTAGGTGGCGGCCAAGTGGGGATTTTGTGGCTCACAGTGGTGCCTAAAAGTGTAAGTTAGGTACCTGAATCTCTCTGTAGATCTGGCTCTAAGTGCCTCATTGGGGCACAAAAATCTGGGGCAGAATTCAACCCAGATCTTCCAAGTCCCACTCCAGTGCCTTAAGCACAAGACCATATTTCCTTCTATCTAATGAGCTGTTATTACAAAGCTTACCATTTTCTTTCTGGAAATTGAACTGTCACAGGAGACAGTTGTAATGTATCTGGGAATTCAGTAGTTTGGATCTATTAGCCTTCCTAGCAGACCTCTTGAAACATAATTATGAGACTCACAGGCTCCTTCAAGCCTACACAAACAGCAATGGCTGTTGAATGATTTACTTATTTAACAGATTTAAACAAAATGAGGCTTCCTGGGTGATATCTACTGTTTACCTGATTCAAATGAAGCAGAATAAGCAAACTATGACCACTGCATTTAAGGATATTGGCTTCCACTACAAACACCCTGTTCAACCAGTACAAATAAAAAACAAACCACCGAAGAAAACCATTGTTTGATTAACCTTGATTTTCTGTAGTAATCAGGTCCTCTAATTAAAAGGAAAACACTATTGGGAATGTGGCACCATAGTGAAAGAGAAACTTAAATAAAAAGAAAGCCATTCCTTCCTGGGCCAGAGGTCAAGAATGCATTTGATTTTTTTAAACCCACGCACTTCACAGCTCCTTGCAACGACACATCAGAAGTGAGGTGCCTAATTCATGCAATCAAATAATGAGATGAAATTCTGGTAACTAACTATTACAAATAAAAACAAAAACTATGGTGGCCTTGTAAAGTCAATACACTTTTTCCGTGTCAAAATGTAGGGAGCTACTGAACATCCATGACCCTCTTTAAAGATGAATGGAATGGACAGTGCAATGATTTTAAATCAAATGTGATTTTTGCCTTCCCAAACCATTCTTTCTAACAGAAAGAAGAATGAAAGAGGAAACCAGTCAAGAAAATGCGATGTGATAGTGCAGCATTCTAATCAGCGCAGGTGTCCATGTATAAGCCGTCACCACATTCAGAACCTTATCAGACTCCTACTGGAACAACTTCACAGGAGTTTCAGATTTCTCTAAGTTGGGAAAAACAATGGAATCACAAATGACCCCTTCAGGAACTTTGGAAAATCACCAGTGCCATAAAAAGATAGTCATTCTTTTCTACATACCAACAAATAGTCATGTGGGAAACAGCAAAGCATTGTAGCTTTGAACATTTTCAAAAATTAGACCAACATTATACCGCTGAAAGAGCTATTATTTTAATAGTTATTATTTACCATTCACATATGTCTGTGTACTTCTATTTAGATATAATACCTAGTAAAGAACATGAAAAAGAATGGTAAAAGATAAATATTTAATAGTTACACTTTATGGACAAATATGTAGGTTTTAATGTTTATGGTAGTATTTGATGTTTATATGTAGCCATAATTATGCAATTAACTTTACTATAATCTTAAGAAAAGCATAATGTATCTATCAGACAGTTGTAAGTGCATATTCATTTATGGATAGAAAAGTGTTAACCGCTAACCTCTCTTAGGAAGTAAAAATGTTCAATCTAGACTTTAGAAAAGAATCCTGAATGTCTTAGCTCTGTTTTTAAGTCATGTTGCATACCGTAAAAACATAGGTCATAATCTTTGATGGTTATTTATGTTTATAAAATACCTATGTGGCTGTACATTTTGTAAAAAAATAATTATGCTCTTCAATAACATTGTCTCATTTTAAATAAACTTTGTACAATTTTTGTTTTTAATTTTAATTCTTTATGTCCTGCACCCAAAGAAAATTTAAGAATTTATCTAATTTCTTTTCTAAATTTCATAAGGGATCAATGTAAAACTTTTCCTACTCAATTTCTGACATACAGTTAAATAAAAATCAGTTGTTCACTTGACATTACATTTTCAGCAGATTTTTCCCCAAAATTTTTCTTTGCATTCTGAAAGTATTAAAATAATTCTAGTAATGTTGATACACAGAAACAACTTATTATGACAGGTTTCAGAGTAACAGCTGTGTTCGTCTGTATTTGCAAAAAGAAAAGGAGTACTTGTGGCACCTTAGAGACTAACCAATTTATTTGAGCATAAGCTTTCGTGAGCTACAGCTCACTTCATCGGATGCATCAACTTCATCAACTTATTATGAGCTTCTTGTATTTAACCTATAGGACAATATAGTCAAAGCATTACACTACATCATGTCACTTGATAATGATAACACAATGTGATTTTAGAGACTAACCAATTTATTTGAGCACGAGCTTTCGTGAGCTACAGCTCACTTCATCGGATGCGTACCGTGGAAACTGCAGAAGACATTATATACACACAGAGACCATGGAACAATACCCCCTCCAACCCCACTGTCCTGCTGGTAATAGCTTATCTAAAGTGATCATCAAGTTGGGCCATTTCCAGCACCGAAGTGATCATCAAGTTGATGATCACTTTAGATAAGCTATTACCAGCAGAACAGTGGGGTGGGAGGGGGTATTGTTTCATGATCTCTGTGTGTATATAATGTCTTCTGCAGTTTCCACGGTACGCATCCAATGAAGTGAGCTGTAGCTCACGAAAGCTCATCTCAAATAAATTGGTTAGTCTCTAAGGTGCCACAAGTACTCCTTTTCTTTTTGCAAAGACAGACTAACACGGCTGTTACTCTGAAACCTGACAATGTGATTTGCATTGGGATGCAGACATGATTCCACATCTCTAAGTCTAAAATAAATGTGAGTCTTTAACTGTCCTATAAATGGCACTGGACCTTGAAAACTGAAATTTTCCTGCAAATAAAATGAAATGTCATTGCCCTATTTTAGGGCAAGCAGCAACTCCAGCAGTAAAAGAAGTGGTCCTATTTCCAGATTGAGAGCAAAAGCCAAAATCAGCATTAACTCATTCCTGGAAAGGACGAATACTACGAGTAAATAACAATATGGTGCTCAATTGAGTTTAAAATGGAAAAAAAAATTAGCAGTAGCCACTGTGACTCATGCACGAGAATTAAGGGTCCAGTGCTGCTTCCATTGAAGTCAACAGGAATTTTGCCATCAACTTTAGTGACAGCAGAATTGGGACTAACGGGCCCAATATTCAATTGAGCCTCAAATCGCCTTGACTTACATACAGTTTGGGTTTTTTGTGGTTTTGTTTGTTTTGTTTAAGGTGCACTTTCACTCAGAGTGTAGAATATACATATGCAAGCCCATTTAGACAAATGGGCTTTTGCATGTGAGAATCTGATATCACCTACAAGCATAGGAGACATTTGGGCCCCAATCCTGCCACAACAAACCCACATGAGTAATCCGACTAAACTGAACCAAACTAGTCATCTGCCTGGGTGTTAACAGGATTAGAGCCATTGTGTGTATGTGTGTGTATACCTGCAGGGTTGCACACATACAAATGGAAGCTGCTGAAAAGTCAGAACTCAGTTACATAAGGAACTAACCTAACTTGATTTTTAAAAAACCTTAACTAAGAAGTATTTAGTTCTCAAGCTGCCACAGTCAAAATGTGGGATTTTGAAACCTAAATAAATATCCCAGAATAGAGAAGGAATCTGAGATTACGTGGGACCATTTATTTAACAAATTTTATCTCCAACTCAGTTTCATCAACTCTTTAAATTACATTAGCTATTTAGAGTAAAATACAAAATGATATAAAACCAGGTCAGCAGGAAATAGCAGGGGGCTGTGGTGAGAAACAGCAGATCAGTATGTTCAAAAATGATAAACAATTCACATCCTCCCTTTCCAGTATAGAAAAAGGAAATTACAGAAGAATAAAGTCTGGTAATACTTCTCTTTTACACACACACACAATATACAATTGTCCTAAATCTATACACAGACAAATTCTGCTCTGGGTTGCAGTACATTTACCCCAATATAACCTACAGCAGAATTTGACCCACAAATGCTAGGTTTTAATAAGCAAAACTCAAATGCACAAGTGAAACACAAACTAATACAGACCAGTACTTTGTATACTGATCTGCTGTTATTGATGCTGCTAATATTTATCTTATTTCTTTCTAGTAACAGCAATCAACTAATATATTTGTCAACCATAGCACAATTCATTGTAACATACCTTTTTATTCAGGAGCAATGCCAAGTCCAGCAGTGATGGTGCTTTTTTGCCTAACTCTCAGGGTTAGGCTGTTGATAGATGTGTCAGCTGAATGACTTTATTCCTTGATTACTGTTCATTAAATTGGATTAGTCCTAAACAGATTACTTAGTCTTGAAACAGTAGAGATTTGGTGAAAGACATCATTTATTGCAAGAGATAGTTCAAGACATATTAACTGTATTTAGGTAGAAAAATGTATGCGCTATTCAGAAAGACATAACTGTACACCAATGTCTACTGGGGGAAAATTTGTTTTGCTTTACCTAGCATGCATACATGACAGCTCTTTTGGGCAGTGAATATCCCTTGTTGAATGTTTAGAAAGTGCTTAACGTATCTGAGCAGTACCTCAAACAAACCATAATAAAATAACAAACAATAATATTAATAGAATATGTGCATTTTGGTGCAACTAGCGTTTGTATGTACTTTTAGCATGGTTTTTATAGCATTATTTTTTGGAGAAATATAGACATCTCAAAAAACTGTAAAAAATCGTTAAAGACACAAAGCCTTTATTGACTGAAAACCAAAATACAAACTATGTAATTTACTTCATAGCCACCACTTCAGTGTTAATGATTAATTCTTAATGTTTATGCTCATACTGCTCTGGCTGTGATCCTACAGATCACACAATCTAAGGCCACAGAACTGCAAACATTTATGCATGTGAGTAGCTGTATACACAAAACTAGTGCCAGCGAGTTCTGGAGCTACTCATGTGCATAAAGTTACTTGTGTGTAAGTGCTGGCAGGATCTTGCCAAGTTGAGTTGGGCTAAATAGTTAGGAGATTTCTAAGTAACAAGTAGAGTACAACAGAAAGTGATATTTGTAATTCATTAAATGACACCCTTGCCCATGTGTAAGCATGGAAACTATACCCCCATACTTGTTGGATTTTTTTCTGTCTTGGCTAAAATATTAAAACCAGAGCATGACCATTGCAGTCATTAATTATCCGAGTGCATGTTTCACAAAAGCACAGGTGTTCACCTGGCTGTTATGAATAAACTCTAATGACATTCTGCCTAACCAAATACTTCCTGTGTTTTCAATTGTGCACTGTTAAACAGCTGGCATGTCTGGTTCCAAAACTGCCTGCACTTCAACTGCAGATGAAATGAGCAGTGTATAGTTGAAATGAGCAGAGCATTCTAGAATGAAAAGTTCTATTTAAATGTAAAATGCATCAGAAAGAAGAAGAAATGGACCAGCTGATTCAGCATCAAAGCCAGCAGCTGTGGGGTTTATAAAGCAGTGATTCAGTATAATTAGTATTTCTCCACTACAGTATTTTAGACAGTTTTCTTTTTAGTCCCTCATTTGTGGTCATATTTGTATTTTTAGCAAGGGAAAAGAGGATTTGGTGGCCAAACTAAAGATGACCAAACATCTTGTTTTATGGTTTCAGAAAATCATCCGGGTTTGTACTGGTGGATGGGGAAAGGTGGAGTTTCCCCTTTCTCTGAAGAACACCAGACAAAAGAATACTTTTACAATCATTATTCTATCATGTGGCTCATAGGGGTAGTAAATTGCACTTAAACCTAGTTCCCCTGATCAACTGACTGGGGGGGGAATCACGTTACTGGATACCCAAAATGATATTAACTATTGTAGGAAAGTACAACTGTTCTAAGTATACAAATTCTTTGGGAGAGGTAACAGAAGTATGAAGCTGATGTACCCTAAAGACTCAGAAACAAAAAGGCAAATTAAAAGAAACCAAAAATGTATTAATTTTTTTAATTTCATGACTTTCATGTGTATAACTCGTGATTTTTTCATTCTTATGGTTGCCAATTTATCTTGGGGTTTTAGATCTATATTTAATAAAAATTACAGTATAAAATTGCCTTTGAGAAGGATTTTTATACAAGACAGAGCCAAATCTTTAAAGGTATTTAGGCAACTAGAGGGATTTTCAAAAGCATCTAGATGTTTTTAACCTTTAAAAATCTGGTCATTAGTGAATATTTTTCTACACACAAATTGCAACATGTGAAAAAAACACTAAGATGCTAGACAGAGGCAAGATAACAGTTGACAAAAACAATATCCACTGGTGAATCAAAAAAAAAGTTTTGAGACTAACCCAGGAAATCAGTCAGCCTTAAAGTCACACCATCCCAAAGAATAAACTTGTGCATGCATCCGATGAAATGAGCTATAGCTCACGAAAGCTTATGCTCAAATAAATTTGTTAGTCTCTAAGGTGCCACTAGTACTCCTTTTCTTTTTGTGAATAAAGACTAACATGGCTGCTACTCTGAAACCTGTCCTTGTGCATGGTGTGACCCTATACCCCATATTCTTCACAGACATATGCTTATAATATGGCATAACTAAGATATGTTTTATGCAATATGGGTCACGTAAGGTATCACTGGAAAGGTTATGATTTACTGAGTATGATTATCTCATTTGTATGCAAGTATCATTTCTGTATCTGAAGTTAGGAATATTGACTATGCAACAATTTACAACAGTGTTTATACTTGGGGAATGCCTACCAGACAGTATGCAATCAGCCTGGATGGGCCATTAGGAAGGACAATAGGACTCTAAAGATGCTAATCTCCCTTCCTGAAAAGAAAAGG